CAAAAGGGTCGCCAAGTGTCTCTCCAGGTGGCTCTTCCCCCCACCTCCTCTTCTTTTTGAATTGTCTTGGGCCACCAAATCTTTCTGAATTGTCAAAACGGGTTCCCATTTGGAAAAGGTTGGGAACCACTGTGCTAGACCATTCAGAAAGTTGACCTGTTCCGTTAAATGTAATGAACTTACTTCAAAAGTTGGCCCATTAACTTAAAGAGATAAGTATGTGCAACCAAAACCTGCTCATCCTTTTCCAGAATGTTCATTCTGTTCCCTCCTCCAGAACTCAGAAAGATAAAGAAACAAGGACTTTACACATCAAGCCAACTGTAACTACTTAGAGTGTTTTCTGCTTTAAACTCTACGATGTGTAATGTGGAACATCAGGAAGATACACTAGTGAACTCTCCCCCTCTAATGGGAAACAGTTGAGGGTTTTACCAAATCTGTCACTTTTTAAATGAAAACATGAAAAAGGCTAAGATAAAACAAAACAAAACAAAATTGAAATAATGCTCTTTGATTCAGATGCCGAAAATTGTTCCGCAAGGAACGGAAAAGCTGATGGGGAAAAAATAAAATGAAATCTTATGGTGCTTGTAGCAGCCCAAGCAGACATTCTTCCCTATAATCCTCTTACTCTCCTCTTTGCTCAAAAAAAAATCCCTTCACTGATCGTTTGTAGAGTCTTGGGAATCTAGGATGTTTAAACAAGTGGTTTCCATTTCTATTTCAGGATAACTTGTGATTGTCCCAGCCAGCTCTTCACTCATCTGGGCTGAAGTGTACAGTAGTTTATCAAAAAAGGTGAATTTGGAGGTTTCCCAAACAAGATTAATATTGGTGGGGCAGTCAAAAAGAAAAGACAATGTTTTGTGTGACAGCAGGTTTAGAGCACAAGGAAAATAAATGTTTGATGGCACTGTATTAACAATAAATTAATCTGGTACATTCAATATTTCCAGTTTCTTTTCAAAATTTGTGAACGTCTTAAAAGCACACTAAAAATTGAGAAAAATATTTGATGGCAGGGGAGAGAACATTTGAGTAATATACTTTGCTAGTTAATTTCTGTATACCCTTTGGATTTATAGCAAGAGCTTTTGCTCTGAAAACTCTATTTCTGCAGGCTCCACATCTTCTAATCTCACATTGGTGACATTAGATTGTTGCCATGGAAATATGTAATGATGACACAAATTAAAGTGCCAGAGGCATGTATTATCCATTGATATTAATGGGATGTCCTGCTGCTGATCCAAATCAATTGTATGGCTTTCCTGTTTCACTGTAGCATGGCTTGAGAAGAATAGAGGGACTACCAGCAAACTGTTTTTAAACACATGTGTTTTATAGCAAACATAGCAAGAACGGTTATTAAAGAAACAAGTTAACATTGAATACAACCAGTCAATTCTTTGCTGCAAAGTTTTATTTTGAAATAGGAGTATGTTAAACTGGAAATAATGAACATTGCACCTCAAGGAAGAATTTCCAGATGAATAATCGTTTGTGCTGCAGTTCATGAACGTTTTCATGAATGAAACAGTAATCAGCCACATGCTCACAAACAACAAACAATAACACAGCAGGAAGAACAGCAGAGGAAACTTGCCAAGTTTATTCCCCAAAATATGTGTATTTTGACCATATCTAAAGTTAATTGATTTGCATAGTACGTGACATGGTTAACATTTTTAAAAATTGCACTTCTGTCTGATTTTTCCACCTAAGATTAGTGACAAATGATTGGTCTCTAGTTAATTAGTTAAGCATTTGATAGCACTTTGTGTTTGACTTACCAGTGCCCTTTGCTGTTTGCTTTCAAAACAACAACAAGAAAGAATGGCAAAATAGGAAAATGTGACTAACATAATAAATATTGGCAGGTGTAATAGCTGAAAATACTCTGAACTAACTTCTTCAGTTGACTGGATTTATGGTATGCCTTTAAACATGATTACCTATGAAAAGTCTGGTGAACACCTCTCCTGAAAGATAGTTCAACCATAAGACCGTTTTACTTGTTTTTTCCTTCCCTTAGCCAGATGACAAAAAGTTAAAGTCTATTGTCAATAAAATGCTCCCCAAAGATATAATGATGGTCTGTATACATCTTAACTTGCATGACACCATTAACACTGTACTCAATTTAATTAAGCTTACCTTACTTAAAAAATTAATTTTTAGGAGAAAAATAAAGTGTTTCATTTCTAGTCACTATTTTAAAATTGCCATGAATTATTATTTTGTTTTCTGGCTCTGAAATATTCCCTTATTTAGAGAAGCTCTGTGCACCCAACTCTCAGGCGAAGCTAATATCTCCATAAGAGGAAAAACTTAACTTTCTCATTGGCCTGATCCAAAGCTCACTGGAGTTGATAAGAGTCTTTCCGTTGACTTAAGAGGACTTTGGATCACGTCCTTTGTGTCAGGTTAACAAGTGTGTCTGGCTTCAGGTTTTATATCTGTGTATATGCTGATTTAATGTAATACATTTTGGCTCACTTCTTTGCACTTTTCAAAACACTTAAGAGCACAAGGATGAGGGCCCATGTTAGAGGCTCAGAGCCATCTGCAGGCATCAGTAAAATTAACTTGAGTGTGAAATCCCCAATAATGAGGTTTCCTGAAAAGAATCCTATGTACACCTGGAGCTGGACAGCCTAAAGGAAAATATGGCAGTGCTTACATTTCACTTGTGTTTGTGTTTTTTTCTTAACTCTTTCTCCCTAGAGAATGTACATTCTGAAAGATACACATTAGAAAAATACTAAGTTTGCTTGTACAATAATAAGGTTTGACATCTAAATGATGCTGTTTATCAAGGTATTTTTAAGTCCCTCAACCATGTTTTTTCGAGAGTGGCTGGAATAAATGCTAACGTTTATTGAAACTCAAATTCTAAAAGAGACAATGTGCACATTCATTATTTTGAATGAATTCTTTTCCTCCACCATCACTCAGGGTGTGTCTAGACAGCATGGCTCCATCAACGGAGCCAGGTAGATGAGTGTACTCGACAAAGGGAAATGAAGTGGTGATTTAAATAATCGCTGCTTCATTTACATAAAAATGGCCACCGTGCTGTGCCAATCAGCTGATTGTCGGCACACCACAGTAGTCTAGACGGGGATCAGCTGACTCCAGAACCCTTTGTTGTCAGATCCTTTACTCCTCATGAAACAAGGCTTACAGGATCTGATGACAAAGGGTTCTGTGGTTGGCTGATCCCTGTCTAGACTACCATGCTGTGCCGACAATCAGCTGATCGGCACAGCACGGTGGCCATTTTGATGTAAATGAAGTGGCGATTATTTAAATTGCTGCTTCATTTCCCTTTGCTGAGTACACTCATCTACATGGCTCCATCAACGGAGCCATGTAGTCGAGACACACCCTCAAATCCTGCAGAATTTTAGTTGACTAATAAACACATATCAGGTTTCTAAACTTAAAAAATATATAAAACTTCTATCCAAATAAAGGGTAGGAACTCACTCCTTGCCTCTGCTTTCTTGTCCCTGATTTGATCTTCCATCATGACATTCAAGGCTTATCTATGGAGTGTAGCAGTGAACCTGCTGGGTTTGATTTTTAAAGCACACTAATATGTTGCATATTAATTGGTCTCTATAGACCAAGTGGTGTGCACTGACATTCCTTCATGTGCTTTAGTGCTATTTCAAACAGTATTACACTAAAGAGTGCAAGAAAACTGTTAATGCACACCAGCAGGATTTACAGAGACCAATTAATGCACAACATGTTAGTGTGCATTGCTGGTTTGTGGAGACAAGCCCTCAACAGTCATTTCTGTCGAATCCTATTGGTTTAGACCTATGAAATTCTTCCAACTTTTCCAAAGTGGTAGTTGAGGTGCTGCTGCTACCAATACACTGTAAGCAATCCCAAGAAGCAGTTGTTTTCAGTTCAGCTCAAAAACCAAAATAAACTCATTTGATTAAGACAGTCTGAGCAATTATTTTGTTGATTGTTACTTAAAGTCATCTTCTGTCTAACTGCCCCACTTTTGTGTGTTCCGGTATGCACACAGTGAGTAGCTAGCACAGGAGGGGATTAAAGGAATGTGTCCATATTTTAAACATCGCATGGCTTCTTTCACTAACATCCTCTGATATTTCTAGCATCAAATCCTTTCTGTATTCCATCATTGTTCGCTGTATATTTATAGAGCAGAGTCCCATTGTGATTGATGCTGGGCAAATATGAGCAAGAGACAGGCTCTGTCCCCCTCTTTACAAATCTGGGAGCAGAAACTACTGGCCCAGTTTTCAGGAAAATTCAGCACAGTAGGTGCAAGTTAGCTACAGAGCATTTCTGAAAAATCAGCCTCCAACTCCAGGTTCTGAGCACTTGTAAATCTTCCCCAGGCCTCTTTTTCAAGTTTGGCCTAAGTGACTTGCCCAAAGTCATACATCAACTCTGGGGCAGAGCTGGGAATTGAATCTAGAGACCAAAAAATCCCAGTGCAAAGCCTTAAACTCACATTACTGCAGTAACCCAACTGTAATCAATGGGCCTATTCCTGAAAGAATAGTGAGCCTTTGAACAATCAGGGCTGACTCCTCCCACCCCAACTGTTTTTGTTGTGTTGTTTGATTGTTCTCAAAGGTTTCTGCCTAAAAACAGATGGGCAAGGAGAAAAAGCAGGGGACTGGGAGACTGAATCTGTTTTCAGGTTTCCAAAACAATTCCCTATAAATGCAGCTGAATCACCAGCCTGACAAGGCAAAGGGTTTAAATAAGGGAAGGCTGATGCCACCATCGCTGCTGGAGCTGGACAGATGTGTGGGGGGGGGGAGGGGAGGGGGAAGCAAGGGATGAAGCACCCCTTGGCTGGAAGTGATTTCTATTATATCCAGGGTTTACAGTTTCGTGCAATAGCTCTCAGCACACACCCCTCCCTGCCACTGTACAAATTGTTCCAACCTCTTACCCTAGTATTACTAGAAAAGTGCCCTATAAAGCACCTTAGGTCTTACCACAGAAACTTCCGGAAAACAAAACCACCCATAGACAGCTCAGAATCCAGGGTGAAAAATGAGGATCATAGTGAAGCAAGGCAAAGGAGAAGTGTTCCTCTGGAAGGCTGGGCCTGGAGCAAGTCCCCAGGCTGGGCAAAGCCACTGTCACACTTGCCTGTTAAAAGCAAAGACATGGCAGGGTCAGCTAGTTTCCTCTGCAGCGGGTAAAGGACAAGTGTGAAAGCAAGTTCAGTGACTGGGGGGGGGGCACTAATTCTCTGATTTGGCACAAAAAGAATTAAAATAAAAATTAAGCATCTGAAAACTAGAGCGAGGTGAGAGATTTCTCTACCACTGGGCTTTGGCTCTTTTGTAAACTGAGGCATCATTAAAGAAAGAGAGAGGAAGAGAGGGAAGGAGAGTACATACACGTATACCCCTCTCCCTCTCTCTGACACACACACACACACACCCCTCTCCCTTTCTCTGACACACATATACATACCCCTCTCCTTCCCTCTCTCTGACACCCCCGTATCTGATTGACACACACACACCCACCTCTCTCTCTCTCTTCCTTTCTCTGACACTTTCCTCTCTCTCTCTCTTTCTTGGACCCCCCCCCTCTCTCTCACACACACACACACACACACTCTAACACCCTCCCCCCTACACACACACACACAAGAATGTATAGTTTTTTTCTCTCTCTGGGTATGTCTGCACTGCAGAGATTTTCTGGAAACACGACTGTTTTTCCAGAAAAAATACACTTACATCCACACTGCAATTGCGTTCTTTCGACAGGAAGTCAAAAGAACACAGGGGTTTTCTGACAGTTGTAAACCGCTTTCTATGAGGAAGAAGCCTTTTTCTGAGAGAGCTCTTTCAGAAAAAGGTGTGTGTGTGTACACAGGAAAGAGAGGGTTTTTTTGTTTGTTTGTTTGTTTTCCAAAAGAAGAGGCCTCAAGGAAAAAAAAAAAACAGGTGCCTTAGTGGCTGCTCCTTCCATAGTAATCACAACTTAAATGTGAGATAGAGACCAATAAATGTGGAAGCTATCTTGCGAAAAAGCAGATCACTTTTTCAATGTGCTTTTGCTGTGTGGACCCTTTCTTTTGAAATAAGTTTTTCCTGAAGATCTCCTCCAGAAAAGCTTCTTCTGAAAGAAGCCTGCAGTCAAGACATACCCACACACCCCTTTTTCTAACACCCCCTCTCCCTTTCTCTGACCCACACACTGCTCTCTCTCCCTTTCTCTGATGCACACACCCCCCTCTCACACATACTCTCTCTCTCTCTCTCACACTCAACCCCTCTCCCTTTCTCTGATGCACACCCCCCTCTCTCACACACTCTCTCTCTCTGACACACACCCCCTCTCCAACGCCCCTCTCCCTTTCTCTAATGAACATCCTCCCTCTCACACATACACTCTCTCTCTCTCTGACACACACCCCCTCTTCCTTTCTCTGATGCACACCCCCCTCACACACACACTCTCTGACACACACACCCTCTGCCTTTCTCTGATGCACACACCCCCTCTCACACATACACTCTCTCTGACACACACCCCCCCACACACACTCTCTCTCTGACACACACCCCCTCTCCAACGCCCCTCTTCCTTTCTCTGATGCACACCCCCCCTCACACCCTCTCTCTCTCTCTCTCTGACACACACCCCCTCTCCAACGCCCCTCTTCCTTTCTCTGATGCACACCCCCCCTCACACCCTCTCTCTCTCTCTCTCTGACACACACCCCCTCTCCAACGCCCCTCTTCCTTTCTCTGATGCACACCCCCCCTCACACCCTCTCTCTCTCTCTCTCTGACACACACCCCCTCTCCAACGCCCCTCTTCCTTTCTCTGATGCACACCCCCCCTCACACCCTCTCTCTCTCTCTCTCTGACACACACCCCCTCTCCAACGCCCCTCTTCCTTTCTCTGATGCACACCCCCCCTCACACCCTCTCTCTCTCTCTCTCTGACACACACCCCCTCTCCAACGCCCCTCTTCCTTTCTCTGATGCACACCCCCCCTCACACCCTCTCTCTCTCTCTCTCTGACACACACCCCCTCTCCAACGCCCCTCTTCCTTTCTCTGATGCACACCCCCCCTCACACCCTCTCTCTCTCTCTCTCTGACACACACCCCCTCTCCAACGCCCCTCTTCCTTTCTCTGACACTCCCCTCACCTCCTCCCCCAGACTCGCACCTGAAAACACACGTTCACACGCTCACAAAGCACACCCCCTTCCTTAAGGACACCTGCGCTGTTTGTGTCCGCCCCGCTCCCTTGCGGAAGACAGGGGCCGGGTCCCCGCGAACGCTTCTCCCCGGTGTGCGCTGAACAGAAGCGAGCCGCGCTCTCTCGGTGAGGCCGGGGGACTCGCGGAGCACGGGCCCGGAAGTAGTTCCGGCACCCACTCGGCGCTGGGCACGGCGGGCTGGCGCCAGGAAGCTTTGCGCGGGCTGCGGCTCTGAACCTGTCTCTGCCGCGCCCGGGCCTGTGAGCGCCGGGGCCGGCCAGCGGGCCGGGCCGGAGGGGTGACACGTGAGCGAGTCACTGCTCAGCCCACGCGCCAGTCGTGGCAGCAGATCCGCCGCCGGAGCGCCGGGCCCCGTGCAGTGGCTGTTTGCTGCGGGCAGAGGGCAGCATTGGCTTTGCACAGCGGAGGAGCCCAGAAAGCGGCCGAGGCAGGCCGGGGGCGAGGGGCGAGCGGAGTGACAGGTTGCCGCTTTCCAGAGGCGTTAGCGCGCAGCCGGGGTAAAATTCTGTCGCTCCTCCGGCAAAACTTCGCCTGGTTCCGAGGGCACGTTCGAGGAGGAGACAAATAGTGTGTGGAGGTGAAGTTCAGATCATGCCCGGAAAATAAACCCTCCTCTGGCTCCCAGCCTCGCTCACGTTTGCCAGACACAAGCCGAGTTACCGCCGGTTTGCACAGATACAGGACTCACTTGACTTCTTACCTATCAGTCCTTTGCGAGGGGGAGAAAAAAAGGCTGCCGCATACATTCGAGACTATGGGATTGGCATACTGTGTAAGTGAGGTGCTAGCCATTCCCTTTATTTCCTTGTGACATCAAATCCCAATGAACCAACCGGCAGTTACTATCCAGTTCCAGAATGCATGGCGCACAGCCGTGCTAAGTGCCCCGACCCAACAGCTGTTGCAAACCTTTATCAAGGCAGGACTAGCTATCAGATTTACTCACGTGAGTAAGGCTTGTAAGACGGGTCCAAAGCTTCCACATCTAAGAGGGTGCATAGGGCGAATAACCTGACGTGGGAGTTTGCTCTCGATTCGGCTCAGACAAAAATCCTGCTGACGCCGATGGGCCTCTCCCGTTCCCACTGACAGAACTGGAGGATCAAAGCCTTCGTTTGTATTGTGACCAAAAGGAAGTTCTTCAAAAACTGCCAAGTGTCGCCCCACTCGCTTGCGTTTTATGTCAGAAAGAATTAAAGGTTCTTACACAACAGTTTAAAAAAATCTTCACAGGCTGTCGCTGAGAGACGTTTCCTCAATGAATTACACTCGGAAGGCTATTTAGAGCATCAGCTCAGATTTAAACACAGGATGGATCACCAGGGGGGTGAACTAAAGGGTCAAGTCCCTCTCCTGGTTTCAGGTCGGGCAAGAAGGGCAGAAAGACAAAGCAACGGGCCTCTGCGCAGCCAAGCCTACCCTTCCAGAGCAGGGATGCTGGGTGCGGGCAGAAAGCATGTGCCGAAAAGCAGGATCAGGCCCCGAGTTCTCCAGAGCTCACCCGCGTTTGCCAACATTGTCATTCAAACGGGACTTGCCTCAACCTTCCTCGCCCAGGGTCCAATCTAACCGCTACAGCCCGCTCGTGACTAGTGCGTTTAACTTTAGGTGCACCCGCCAACGCACTGAGTCACGCCGCAAACACAGAGCACCAGGCTGTCAGCAGGTACTAATCAGCTACAGTCACTCCCTGCCCCACTCCCGCTTCTTAAATTTTTCCTACAACGCTTGAATCCCCACCCAAGCGAGTAATTCGGTCGTTCTCCCATTGAATTAGGGCTGTTCATCTGAGCACAAAGGTACAGTCTTAGGCATTTGGAGCACAACCCCTGAATGCACTAGCCTGAAGAAAGGGGTGTTCGGCATCTCCCAGGATCGAGTCGTCGGGACCCAATCCTTCTATAAGGCGAACCCCTCTTTGATTTCAGGGCGGGTTTGGGGTTCCTCGTCCTCGTTCCTCGTTAAAGCAAAGATATGTATGCTTGGGCCAAGCTGGAGTGAGAAAATTCCTCGTTTCACATCGTTTGACTGCTACAAGGAGAGCAAAGGCTCAGATTCCTTAGGAGCCGCCTCTGGGCTCTCTTGCTGTCACCGTCTATCCCGCTGCTGCAAACCCAAACCTGTCGTTTCGCAAGCTGTGATTTCACTACCCAGAGCTCTTGCATCGGACTGTAGAAAAGCCCCCGCGCGCACACGCTCTGTGGGTAAGGAAATGGTGGCAGCTGGCTCGATATTTTAAATGATTGCTCTGTCTCCTCACAACTCGAGGATCCGATTCTGCAGTCCGCATGCAAGCACAGCTCCTGCGGACTCCCTGGAATGCACTCCATTGGATTTCCCCTGACGGCTGGTGCAAAAAGCAGCCTTGGGTTTTACAATATTAACGCAGTCTCGACAGTAGTCCTATCTAGTTCAGATCTGGCAGAGACTGCAGCCTGATAAACCAATGGTAAAATCAAGGGCACCACTCAGGTAGCCCGGCTGTTTACAACACCCGGTTGCAAAGTGCTAACGCCATAGTTAATTGCTTGGTACAAAAAAGTCGTTGCAAACACCCTTGGTAAAACCTAAGCCCGGATTTTGGGAGCTAAAGTCCCCAGGCTGACCTGCCATTCCCTGAAATCTTCAGGGGGTAGCCCAATTAGTCTGTACAGGATAAACTTTAAAAAAAAACAAATAGTCTGGTCGCACTTTATAGACTAACAAAACATGTAGATGGTATCATGAGCTTTCGTGGGCACAGCCCATTTCAGAGACTGCGACGGGCCGGACCGGCTTCCCAGTCACTCCTGCGGGAGAAAGAAGCTCCGGGTTCGGAGTTAAACAGTGTGAGAGAGAAATCAAAGCGTCTGGCTTCCTACCCCAACCCTCAGCACAGGCCTTGCCCAGCACTATACAGATCGGGGCTGCTGCTGAGACATAGCCCTGCTCCCAGTGAGGTCAATGCAGCGATGTTATAATGACTCTGGCGGCAACAGGATTTACTCCTGGGCACTCGGAGCTTAAAACCGGGCAACCTGTGGCCCTCGGTACTGATGTACCTCCGAAAGTCCCCTGGCTGGCAATGGCCCACGGGCGGTCCAGTCTGTGGGATCAGACAGGGCTGCTAGTTCAGCGATCTCTTCGGTGAACGCTTCGCTTCAATAATGACCGCGCGGCTCTGCCTGCTACTCCCGGGCGCAGTCAAGCCAAGCGGCCCCGAACTGCAGTAGCGCCCCTGTGGCCCTCGGTACTGATGTACCTCCGAAAGTCCCCTGGCTGGCAATGGCCCACGGGCGGTCCAGTCTGTGGGATCAGACAGGGCTGCTAGTTCAGCGATCTCTTCGGTGAACGCTTCGCTTCAATAATGACCGCGCGGCTCTGCCTGCTACTCCCGGGCGCAGTCAAGCCAAGCGGCCCCGAACTGCAGTAGCGCCGAGCTCTGACGCCCGGCTGCTCTCAGCCCCCGCCGTAGTGCACCCGCCGTAGTGCACCTCCCCAGGGCTGCATCGTCCCCTCTGTTTCCCCGCTCGGACTGGGCGCTCGCTCGCGATGCTTTAGAAACAAGCCCCGAGGGACACGGCTCCAGCGGGAAGTTCCGCTTGTCAGTCCTCGCCCTCGCGGGAGAGCTGGGGGGCTATTCCCCCACGCACCGGGCACAAAGCTCCGCAGCCCCGCGGGAGGTGTGCGCTCTGCTGACACCGCTCCGCCAGCGCGAGGGAGACCGGCTTTGCTCCTGCCTAGTTTTAAGAAAAAGGTTGGACACGCAAATGTCGCGTTTCCGAACATTTGAAGCAGTGTGGGGCTCACTTCGCGCGTGCCCCTCGGCTTCCTTTCTCCCGCGAAGCGCTACACGTGGTACAAGAGCAAGGAGCCGCGCAAAGGGGAGGGGGCGCTCCGTAGCTATCAGCAGACCGGCGAGCGCTCGAGACGCTCAAAGGGCGACATGCAGTTGCCACCTTTGTTTATGAAATACAGAAAGGAAGAATGAAAACAAACCCCCGTACCAGGAAGGGCAGCAGGTAAATTCCTGTACGAATCCTGGCGCGCGGGGTGGAAATGGGTTTGCGGTAAATGCGAAGTGGCTCCGAGCGACAAGGATACATTAGGAGCGAGACTCCGTCCTCTGGGCATACTCCGAGCGGAACCTATGTCACTAGTAACCTGATTTAGAACCGTGTGCGCGGACTGAGCAGCTGCAGCTGATCACACTCTACTGGGGAGAAGGCGATAGAGGCAATTCAGTGTCAAACAAACTTCTTACATAGTTTCCAATGGTAGGAATAATTAGCTCGGTAACTTAAAAATAGCAGGAAAGCTTAAGTCTAACGTGTAACATCTCCTGCACATACTCTATCAGCTACCAAGTATCTAATGTCTCACAGATGGGACATTCACTGGCATCCGAAGGATTCTTGGCCAGAACTGCATATATACCTCAAACTCAAAGAAACTGGAGTGAGGATGCTGCTGCGCAACACGCCACACATAAACCAGGAAATACAAAGTTAAGGCCGACACTCCATCCTTATCTACGCCCGTTGGGCTGGGGGAGCAAAAGGACAAAAGGACACAGAGTCAGGCTTAACTTAGAATTTCCTGGCTTTTTGTTTTTCTTTGTCTCCCAGCCACTTACAAATAAGGAGTATGGTGTTTAATTCGCGTATGTTTATAGTAGTTCGAAGGAGAAATAAAATCCAGGCTTCCCTGAAGCGAGGTAGCTCCAGCTCTCTCAGGTAAATGCACATTTAGGAGATTGGGGGAACGTTAAAAGATTTTAAAGCCAGAAGTAACTATCATGATCATTAGCCAGACCTACTGCAGAACACAGGCCAGAGAAATGCAAGCGCTGATTCCTGCATCGGGGGCGTGAATTCTGGAGGAACTAGGCGACATATTTTTAAAAAGAAGCCTCATACATAAAATGCACCTTGTACCCCGGAATCATGCGAAGCCACTGGAATACACCCTGCCCCGCAATGTAGCCAGTTTCTTGGCCCTTATATGAAGACCAGCGATGCATTTCCTTGTGTGGCTCTGACTCCAGGTCACATAGGGAGGCTTCTATTCTCCATGAAGAGCTTTAGGTGGGAGTGCGCGTGTCTAATGTCCTATGGCTATGGGAAAGGCCCTGCAGACAGGGTTTCAACTACTGAGCAGCTTCAGGGATTTTTCATAAATACCAGAAGCACCTGGGCTGTAGTTTGTGCTTCAGATTTAAAGGAAACAAAACCGAGCACTCCAAAGGAAAACCCCTTTGGTTTGAGAGTCACAAAACCCCTCCCTGACATGTTTTATTCCCTTTCTTAGAGCCAACTCTATAGGATTTTACCAAGGCACAATCTCCCTAACATGGGAAACCTGCTCGAGTAAGGCCTGCAGAACCGAACCCTTTCCTCGCTTCTGAATTGCAAAAACATTCCTTACAAATCTTAAAAGAGCAGTTCTGACCGACTGCAGAGGAAAGAGAGTCAGCACAGTCACATTTAAAGACAGACTTGAATACGCCGTTTTTAAAGACGGGCAGAAACCTGCTGTACTGAAAGAGGAGTGACAGCTCTCTGCCCTGGGCTGCTGTGCTCAAACACGCCTGTGGAACCCACCATTTTTTATTTGGTGAGAAAGATCCCAGCATATGCCCTAGCTTGTAGAATGATGTTTTAATCGCACGTGGTCATTTTAGATAGGTCATCTTGGACGGGAAACGACCACAAACGATTCCCTACTGTAAAACTCTGGGTTTTAATATGTTCAGGTTTTCATTTAAGAATCCAGACCTGTACGTATTAGAACATGCGTTTCGGATTTATGTTACAATAGAAAATCACAAAGTAACAACCATTCCATATTTAACATATCGATTATGGATTTACTAGGACCAGCCGAGTGGGCCAAAGAGCAGTTGGTGGAATACCAAGCAGCATTTATTGCAGCTCTCATAATTTAATGAGCAAGCAAACCAGAGCGATGGACAGAGGTTCTGATTTTCACTCCATTGCTTGGTTGCAGGGCTCAGCGGAAGCTGGAAAATTTAAAACAACACGCAGAACACTGACGCACTGTACTAAGCTGTGGTTGTTTGGTCTTGTGACTCCAACTAGTTTTGCAGTTATCCGACCCTAACCCTGCCCTACACTATTAACACCTTCGGTTAGGACGCTAGGCAGCAAGACAACGAACCCTCCGAGATCTCACTGGATGCATATGGTTGAAATCGCTCTTGGCTTCCTTTACTAGGTTCTCTCATGACCAGTTACAGATGTTCCACTGGCCGCTCCTTAGCTATCCTGCCCCTCTGTCGCTCACGACAGTAAATGAAAGCTAGGCACAGCCACTCTCCTGGCTTCTATCAGCTGCTTTTCCCGCAAAACTCTTCAAACTAGATGCGGTGGGTCTGTGTCCAAATTGGAGCAGGATCTGAGCACAAGCGGGAGCAAAAAGAACCTATCGCCACATTAATATTCTACCACACCGATACCTGAAACAAAACTCGAATAATGAAAGCTTCAGTCCTGGACTTTATCCGAATCTGATGTGACCGCGCAGTTCAGCTGCTGCTTCAACCAGCAATCATCTATATAGTCCAGACCAGCTTTCCTTCTAGGATAACTAACCGGATTTATCACGTCCCCTTAAGATGGGATGTGTGTAACAGACTGCTGCGTCATTTTGTCTATAAGAATCGGACCTGTCCCCACAAAAACACTTCAGGTTGCACGGCGGAAACTAAGACGCCAAAAGAGAAGCACACGGCACTGAAATGCTACTTCTGGGGGCCTCTAACCATCACCCTCAGACAGTATACATCAGTTGTAATTTCATAGTGCGCCCTCGTTCTTCTGATCAAGTGGCAGACATTTTCTTACATCACATAGCGCTCAAACAAGGAACAAAGAGCTGAAATCAGAGATAGCACGTGTTTTGCGGAGAATAATGAACTCCTCCGCGTTAGGAGACTGATCCAAAACCCATCCAAGTCAACTGGGAGTTTTGAGAAGGCCCTTGAAATCCACAGGAGGGACTTTATGTTGAACACTCACTTTACCTTCAGACTAAACTCTAACCAAATGCAGCCTGGAGAAGGAAGAAGTCAGTAAATACCGCTTAGGTGGGTTGTACTTACACGCCTGTGTGGGTGACAGGCACAAAAAGAGAGACAGGCAGGTGACGGGAGTAGATGACCTCTGGAGGTCCCTTCCAGTCCTATGATTTTATGAGTCTCTGTCCTGTCTGGGTCTATAGTGCTCTCCTTAATCCTGGGGGCTTCGTTTCCTTTTCCCTGCCAAACTTGCATCATGATTTTCCTACAGACCAGTCCTAGGAAGAGAGGAGGAGACTTCACCCATCTATGTACTTAACTTCTTTCCCGTGGCCTAGGCTGGCCACTTACAGTATTTCACCGCCGACTCTGCTTCCACAGGCCCATAAAGTACTGACTTTTTCAGACTGTCCTCTCATCCTCATTTGTTGCATTTTGTTCCCTCTGTGATAACACATTGGGGACAGGAGGAGGGGGTGTTATCTGTAACCACAGGAGTGAAAACTTGCATTTGATCAAAACGAAATCCAAATAAATAAAAAGCAACTCTGAGACTTAACGCCCCGGAGCTCCAGGGCCAGACTCCTGCTGACTTCAGTAGGCGTGGGATCGGGCCCTCTCAAGATAAATTAGCACACGATGGGAACTGAAGACACCCTGGTATACTGCTGCCCAGAGGCGCAGTTAAAACACGCAGACGTGCTTCTGCACCTCATACTACTTCCTCCCCAGCGATTACTTTTAACAGCCCCTACCCCTCTGTCAAAAGGCTGGAAGAAAAAGGAATGGGATGGAGGCAGAGGGTATCTGGATGTGTTATGAACGGCGGGCCTGAGTCTCTAGTCGCTCCTCTCAATGAGCTCCCGGTGACTGCAAAGGGAGCTTTGGTTGAGTGAGGGGCTACAGTCCCAGCCCATCAGTGAGAGTCAGCGCCTCCGGGTTGGAACGCCCCGGAGGGACTGCCCGCCGCACAGGAGCCGGTCTGGCATGTGTCTAGTTCCCCGAAGGAAGGTGACCTGTGCGCATTGTGCACGGCGAAAGGGCCGATCTGAAGAAATAGCTGGTGGCTGAGGGGTGTGAGTCTCGTTTTCAGACAAGGCCTGTGCCATGCTAACGGGACCTAGAGCGCAGAAAATTGGCTAGTTTGTTCAGCCCTTACCGGTGCACCCGGATAGCCCCCTTCCCTGCTCCTGGCCAAGGTGCATCCACGTGGATTTCGGGTCACTCTTACCCCTGGTGCCGTGTTGACATGGGGGAAGTTACAGCAAAGGAGTATTCTGGCCCGACCTCTCCCCCTCGCGTGTGCTCAGAGGGCGCTGCACTCAAGATGCCAGCTGCGCTAGGGCCCCTTTGGCTGGCGTGGGCCCCCGCGCACAGGCTGTGGGTGACCCTGACCCGTTCTGTGGGCAAGGCCGCGGCCACTTCTCCGCCAGGCGCGGAGAAGGGCTGAGCAGTGAGCCACCACAGGAAGCTCCCGAGGAGACACTGGGGCGTGCGCTGCTTCTATGCAGCCTGCGTTTGCCACACACCGGGAAACGTAAGGCCCAGGAAGGGACAGTGGCCCGTTCGCCCAGCGCGTGCCCTGTGCACTGAGGTTGGGACAGGGCTGGCTTCCTATGCGCTCTGCAGCCCAGAGCCTTACTCCGGAAGAGACAGAACTCACGGGACTAGACGCCAGTCTGGGCTGGCCGGGGCACCTGGACGCCTGGCTGTGGGGAGGGGACTTACCACGGGGCTGATTGTCGCGGGAAGCAGTGACCTGGCATGGACGGGAAGCCCGCTTTCCGCATTCACACCTGCCTGCGTGCCCACCGAAAATGGAAGGTTTCACCCAGCGAGGAAACGGCGTCGCTGAGCTGCTGTGAAGGGAGATCAGGAAGCCCTTGGAATCAGGATGGAATTTGGACACTACCGCAGGAACGAGAAATGCGCTGAACCCAAGGCTACCTCTTAGCCCGCCGGAGCCGGCGGAGAGAACTCAGTAGTTAGAATCTTCGCCTTCCTACGGTTTGGTGCCGAAATGTCAGTCTGCGCTGGACTTTCTGCCAGATCAGACCCCAACTAATGTAGTTACGGGTCAAACCTGCACAATTTGACACACTCAAACCCTCATTCTTATTGAACAGCACACAGAAAATAATAACCCGTACCTACGGGTGCTGTGAAACTGTCTAACTGTAGTGATCTCTTATCATTTAACCCTGTTCGGCATAGAGAGCTATTACAGCATTTCTGCAGGCAGTCGCTTTCTTTTCGCTCAAGAGAGGGTTTCGAAAACACTTAGCTTTTTGAAAGAAACGCTAGAGTTTTATACGAGGACAGACGCTAGCCCCCACACGCCAGGTTACTGATATTCGTCAGTCACCCTGATGCATCTATGCACATTCTTCCTTTCGTTCCCCCTTAAATTAGGGTAGGAGAGTGACTATATTACTACCAGTAGGAATAACAGATCTAATAAAACAATAACATAAGTAACTTCCCCTATCTTCACTGCACTGAACTTTCATTAATTAAAAATCGATGGGAAGCAACTTTATCCTGCCCGAGAATTTCTTTGGTCAGTCTCCATTTAAGTTAAGAAAATATCGTGGAACCCAGGAAGGTGTCTGCCGTCAGCAAGCAGACAGACCTTGAGCTAAGTCAAGGCCAGAAACAGCTGCTAACATCACCACTACGCCGCTCAGTAAATACTACCAGGTCAGTCCCGAGGACAGATGAAATTCGTCTGCCCAGTTACAAAAAGGATTCACTGCCACCTTATAACAGTTTGAATAAAGCAGCTGCCACAGCATATACTGTTATTTACATTACTGAATTGCTGCTGGGATGCTTTCTAAGTCACAACAAACAGCGGGCATGTGAAGAATGCACAGCATTTTAAAGAGGATATGCTTTCCAAGCACCTTCCAAAACCAAAACAGTTCTGTCTCCAGCATAACTCCGTAGCTTTGTGAATTATTATGTTTATCAGTTATGCAAGCAGTGTAGGTTTCCTTTAGAAAATAGGTACCCTTCAGAGAAGAGGACTGAGTCAAACTGCGGTTCGAATGTGTTATTGCCTTAATCTAAATAGTGCTGCTGCTTATTCCCGCATTACCCAGCTGCAAAAGAAGACGTGAAATCCGTATTGTCTCCCTCTGCAAATATAATCTCAGCAGATCCGTGAAATCAAAGCAATTGTTACTCTGTTCTGATAGATAACTTGGAGCGGCTCAAAATCACTGACTTTGTGAACGCAGAATATACTTTAAGGCCGCATTTTCCTATCTTTACTCAGATAAAACTCCTGATGAAGATAAAAAACCTCAGACGGAATTTTGTTTGCGTTAGGAGTCCAGGATCGGACTCTGGATATAGGAAAGAGACTAAAGTTTACTATTTCTGTATGATAACAAGAAAAGAGGGACGTTCTATAGTCCATCGGTATATATAAAATAGTGTTATTAAGTTTTGGCTGCGTAGAACATTTCAGTGATTAAAATATGGTATAAAATATGAAAAGTAATATGCATATTACTATACACTCTACACACGTCTATGTAGATGGGTAATATGCACTATGCAATGCCTGATCTCATCAACATTTTTGCATTTTACATTAGAATTTTAGGAATTTCTGCAACTACTCAAGCCAATTAAAATATTTTTCATTGAATCTCTCAATGAATTGCATATCAGTAATTGAGCACGCAGGGCTGAAGGAAAATAAAACAATATTAAAAGAAAGAAAAAACATTTTATTTGAGACTTTACAATGCTAGAAAATACAATAAAAGTGCTAGTTTACTTTAGAAAAGTTGGTCCCAAATGGTACTATGCCACAATATCTATCAGCTTACATAAACATTTATAAAATCGTTATGAACTGGCCCCAATATTTATAAACATCTATGTTTTTCACATTAATCTATTTAAAGTAAAGGACCAAAACTTTGTAAGAAAGAGGCCGAGCAGTTAAACGCAGAATCTACTAAAGATTCCATCTGGGGCCAAGAGGTTTTTGGTCAAAAATATGAAGATAAAATTTAACTTTTATTTAATAATAATGCGCATGGAAAATCCCAATTATTTTAGGAAACCGTCCTTTTTTCTTATAACTTCAAAATATTATTTTAGACTTGTATAAAATTACTCTTAAGACCTCACAGGACATTTCTATTTTTAATATACATATATATAGATATCTCACTGCCGAAATATTTCACAAGTTACTCTTGCTATTTTTTGTTTGTTTCAAATATCAACATCGTTGCTATAAAATGTGTCCTGCTTTAAAACCAGTCGCCAAGAAGTATTATTTTGACAAAAGGCGGAACTTTGAAGAAGTGCAATTCTCTCCAGACTATAAAAGTCCTGTGACACACAGCGGATAGGCCTTTCCAGCAACAAATCTACAACTAGCAGAAATTGAATTGGTGACTTTTCTATTTCTCTTTTGTTCACAATTTACTTTCCTCAATGCCCAGAAAGAATAGTGCCAAATGACACCGCGGAGCATAGGTCTGAGGACAAAACTGTCCATTTTCATGGCACGCTCTTTTAACGAACAGAAGAAAGTTCCCCCCCCTCGTATCAAATCAGACAGACCGGACATCGCTCGACAAGTTTACACGCACACAGGTCTCTCGCCGCAGCTATAGGTTTGAAAGTTCAACACTTACGCTGCCTTCGAGCCCCCGCGGCGCAGGGCTTACACTGTCCCGCTGCGCCCCCGGCCCAGGGAGCGCGCTGGCCGGAGGAGGGACGGGGCAGGAGCGGCGGGGGCTCTAGATGTCTATCCGGGAGTGCAAGGCGCTGTGTTTGCTGTCGTGCTCCCAATAGGAACAGTGCATCATGGAGAGCTCCGCGGGCTGGCGGGCGCAGGCGAACTGCAGGCCGGCGCCGTTGGGGGCTGGGGCGGTGGGCGGCGCAGGGCTGGCGGGGCTGAGCTGCTGCGGGTGATGGTGGTGGCTCATGCCGTTGTAGGAGTTCACCATGCCGGGCAGGGCCATGCCCTGCACCCGAGAATAGGGGCCGTAGGAACCGGGCGCCTGCAGCGCTTTCACGCCGGCCGGGCTGACGTTGCCGCCGGCCAGCTGGCAGGAGGCGTAGGGCAGGGGCGCGGGCGGCTGCGCCAGGGGCCACGAGTTGTTGACGAAGCCGGACTGCAGGTACTTGGGCGGCGAGAGGTAGCCGTAGCCCTCGCTGCCGAAGAGGCTCTTGCCGGGCTGAAAGTGGGCGGGGGGCGGCCGGAAGGGCCGCTTCATGCGCCGCCGCCGCCGGTAGTTGCCCTTCTCGAACATGTCCTCGCAGGCCGGGTCCAGCGTCCAGTAGTTGCCCTTGCGCTCGCCGCCGCCCTCGCGCGGCACCTTGATGAAGCACTCGTTGAGCGAGAGGTTGTGGCGGATGCTGTTCTGCCAGCCCTTCTTGTTCTTCTCGTAGAAGGGGAACTTGCTGATGATGTACTGGTAGATGCCGGACAGCGTGAGCCGCTTCTCCGCGCTCTCTCGGATGGCCATGGCGATCAGGGCCACATAGGAGTAGGGGGGCTTCTGCGAGGGGTCCGGCTTCTCGGCCGCCTTCTCCGGGCTCAGCTCGGCCTTGGCTCGCTCGCCCTCCTTGCCGGCGTTGCTGTCATGAGCCAGGAGGGCGACAGGGTCCTCGTCGGGGTCCTGGTAGCTGGCCATCATGGCCCCCAAGCCCACGCTCCTTCCCAGCTGGAGGGGAACCAGGTGTCCCCCGGCCCGGCGGCGGGAGCAACCCACGGGCAGAGCCTCCGAGTCAGTCCCTGCGCGGGACGGATTTGGAGCAAACTTGCGCCCAACGCCGGCGGACACCCAGAGCTCCTTTCCCCGAGGAGCTGGTAAATATCTCTCTAGCCCTGCCTGTTTTTCAAGAGGCAGCAACGCGTCTCTGGCTCTGGCGGCTCAGATTTCCAAGGCACTCAAGGACTTGCTCTTCTCTGATTTGCAAGTTCCGCTTTCGTCAGGAGCCCTTTCCCCTATAGCGGGGAGCTTGCGAGGCATGGTCGAGTTCATGTCTCAGTCACATTTCATAATTACACCCCAGTGATTAGCCTACTTAGCAAAGGGTTCCCAGAGCAAGGAAGAGAAAGAGCGGCACAAAAATCAAATGGCCATAACTATGGAAAGCGCGCGGGTCGAGCTCTCCCGAACTTCCCTGTTCAATTTGTAAGAAGCCTTCTTGCGACTTTCTTTGCCACCGTTTTGAGTATTTATCTTAGGTGGAGATTTTGGGGCGTTCCTGATGGTCAGAGATGATCTCTCAGGGAAAGGTGGATAAATTATCATTCCAGGTGTCCAACCAAGTGAGGGGGAAATGCTAAATACTATAGGCACATGAGGTCCCGAGGGCTACCATATTATCGCCAGTAAAAGGAAGCAACCTCATCTCGTGGCAAATCTAGCGTGTTCTTTGGGTTTGTTTGGCTGACAGGCGTGCACCAGGAAAGTGAGTTCCACATGCCTATCTTGCAGTAAACTGCAAACGTATAATCCCAGTTTAGAAACCGAATCCAAAGCCCTACACTGAAATCCACAGCTGTAAGTGGGAACTGACTGTGATGCAGAGGACGCTTTCCCGTTCATGTGTGTACGTACATTCGCATTTTTTCCCTTTTGGCACAGTGCCCAGATAACTGATTACAATCGAAAAAAGTAACAACCATCCCCCAAACCTGTTAAATCTGTTGCACAATAAATGGGGGCCCGGTTCTCACAGCCCTTCCACACACGAATAAAAACCCCGATTTGGAAAAGTAAAGGCTGACGGATTTGGTGCGGGGGATGGACGTTCTCCACCCAGAGCATGGGAGCATGATCGAAAACAGCGCTTGTTTACCTACAAACCTTAAAGGGACACGCAGATGAGCGAACAAAGGGACGCTAGAAAGAACTGAGGGGAGATCCGAGGGCGTCAGCTTTCCTGGCAGATCTCCAGACTGCAGAGTTCAACTGTTTCTCCCTGGTTAATTGGATTTTTTTATACGCCCGTGACACTTTGTCTCCCCTTTCTCGCTTCAGGTAAAGCGACTTTGAGCAGCACGAGGGCAGTGCGTATTGGGCACCCTGAAGAAGCGCCTCGAAGGTACTGTACAAAACCAGTCACAGAGGCTGCTACCTTTAGGCCCACGTGGAGGTGGGTTGCTTCAGACATTGTTTTGGGGTGACTCGCAACCACTCATGTGGGCTGGTCCCGAGGAGCAGTGCACAGGACCTGCCGTTTGTTCCAACAAGGAGGTTCCTGCGTGCTCCTTCGCTGCCGTCCTTAAGACTGATCTGCCATTTGTGACTGCACAGCTGCGGCTCTCCGGGCCCGTCCTTGAAGACTGAGCTGTCCGAAGACTGTCCCTATCCGGATGCTGAGCTCGGGTGAAAAGCGAGGCTCTGGGCATTTCAGCGCAAGCGTTTGTGTCTGGCTCGGAGCTTCCGTTCACCTTAGCACCCCGGGTCCCTGCAATGCTTACCCTGGGAAAGCCCTGTCTCCGGTGGGAGATTTCCCAGGGTGACGGATTAGCGAGCCCCGCACTTCACTAACTCGCAGCTTTCCGCAATTCCGCGCGCTCAGGATGCTACGGAGCATCCTTCTGTGTGGTCGCAGCGGTCCTCATCTTCAACAGCGGACAGGAAACGGAATCATTGCACGCACGCACAGATACACACTCACACACACACTTATACCCCGTAACCTCACTTATACCCCGGAGGCTGCCTGTAAGTGTTGCAATAATATCCACATAAATGCTTATGTGCGTCTCTAGATTCCCCGGTACGCACACGGACTCGTACTGCAGTAATAGAGATGTAGTCGTGTTAGTCTGGTCTAGCTGAAACAAAAAACAGGACTATGTAGCGCTTTAAAGACTAACCAGATGGTTTATTAGGTGATGAGCGTTCGTGGGTCTGGCCCACGAAAGCTCATCACCTAATAAACCATCTGGTTAGTCTTTAAAGCGCTACATAGTCCTGTTTTTCGGACTCGTACCTGTACACACACACATTAGGCACGCTGCCACTCCTAAAGTAGACACAGCATCGGATGTCGGTCTACAGGCATGTCGAAATACCTTCTAAAACTCAGAACATCTCAATACAAATATATATATATATATAAACATATGCAAAAATAACAAATTCTGCTGGTCTATATTTGGTTATGCATAATTAATTACATAATATATTTGTATAGATCCTATATATATATCTAATATACATACAATATAACGATTTAAAACATATCTTATGTGTGTGTGTTTTATATCTACATTATACACACTTGGCTTTTCTTTAATTCCGATGTGCAGTTAATATAGAGAAATAACATTAGTGATTCATTAATCGCCCACGTGCACATTCCCAAATACACAAGCCAAGACTTTCCATTAGGTTAAAACACGAACATTCTTTGTATCCAGAAGAAAACGAAGCTGGGAGACAGCTGTGCATGAGTAGCACTTAGGTTTGCTGCATGGGGACTCTGTGTTCACTCGTAGAGGTCTGTTAATTTCTGCGGTGTTTGGGCTATCTATTTCTTGCGGCCACCCACGCTGGCCTGCTTGCTCTTCCTCGCAGGCATTCCCTGCTGGTGCAGGTGTAACAGCATTGTTTTGTGTGTCATCACCTCCTCCAAAGTGCAGATTCCTCTCTTTTCTGCTCTCAAACTGGGCGCACTGCTCCTTTAAAGGATTCATTCTGGGAAGAGGAAACTCTGCCATCCTAGGTATTTCTTTGTTGTCAGCCCTGTCAAGTGGGATTTAAGATCAAACCGAGCGGCAGACTCGTAGAATCGAGGCAGGGAATGTTGACCAGGTTTCATTAGCAGAGAAGGTGAGTATACTGGAGTCTGATCAAAGTAGTTGCCTACACGCTAGTAAAGAAATGTTGCCATTAAAGCCAGGCACTAGAAGAGAACAGAAATTCTTTGGTGTCGGTCACTCAAATCTCACCAATGTTAATTCAAGCCTACTCGGAGACTCCGGATCTCAATCAGAAACCATGCTAATAAGTGAGTCGTTGAGGGTTTTTTACTGGATATTTCAGCTCTATAATTAACCGAGATCTAACATATTAGAGGCTTGTACGGTGACTGCTAGGAATGTGTCCATCCTGACAAACAATCTATGTAGCACAGGGGCTTACTATACTCTTCAGTTTTAAGTGGCACCCAGAGCACGCAGAACTTCCAACATTTGTGTGTCTGTTTGGTGTCGACTAGATTAATCATGATCACACATAGCCAGTTTCTTTACATTATCATTTCCAAGCCCTATGTAATTTTAATAAACTCAAAACAAACGAAGAAATACACAGAGCAATTTCCTTGAGCTAAATCCAAGCTCCACAGGGCGTAAATGTACAGAGAGCGGGGCGGAGGGGAAGATCCGGGGCAATTCATAGACTGACATATATTTGCAAGGACTAGATTAAAGCGAATGGCAAAACCGCCGTAAATTTCTGGAGAAGGACGTGGCCTCAGTTCCTTGCAATTCAAAATTATCTTACTATCACATCTTCATAGCAAGGTGTAGGGCACTGGAAGGATTTTGATCACAAATTCCCTCCGAGAATGAGGAGGAAACGGTGAAAAGGGAAATATTTTTTATTTAAATGACCCCATCTCAGGAAATCTTAGTCCCAGTCATGAGGATTTACAGAGCTTGATTTACTCTGGCGAGAAATTGTGTTTTTCATATCTGACTTGTATCAGGATTTAAGATTAAATGTTTTGTAAGTATAAAGAAAAGTTGTCTCAGACACCCGGACAAACAAAGCAATTCGCAATAATAGTTTAAAAAAAAGACTTTCTGGTTTTCACGTACAGTTCTAAAATAGTCTAACTGTTCAGAGTTGCTAAGAAGTCTCAAGCAAGAATTCGATTTATCGGATGGCTTACGGTAAACACAAGACTATAAACCCTTCAGCCTGAGAAATTACAACCCGCCAACCGTCGATGTAGCCAATAGCAATGCACCCTTTAAATAAAAACGCTTTATTGTAGAGTGGAAATCAGTACAGGCTGCGTCTCTGTAATTACAAGGACATTCTTAAATAGTGACAAAGCAGCTCAATTAATAATTGTGGCCTGAATTGGTTCTAAATATCGATTTTTCTTTTCTGTTAATATGAAACACAAACCACAAGACACGTGGAGCGCCGGACAGGAGAGTACAAGTTGCTGAAATTAAAGCCAACCCGCTTTTGATGGACAGCAACGGTTTTAGCCTCTAAATAAAATGCACTTCATTTCACTTGGAAATCAGTACCGAAAAGAGGCTTGCAAGAAGGCAGCTGGGTTGTCTATTATATTACATTTGGGTACTGCTGTTTTTAATAGACAAACGAATATATCAAAGCGATTTTTGTTGAAGTCTTGCCGAATAGTTACTGCAATTCACAAACACAAACACAACTTTGCCAACTAGCCCGTTGTAATTAACACTGCAGTAGATATAAGCAAACATCAAAGACGTCAGATGGACACTAAGATTGCAACCTGGACATTTCTTTATTGGATGAATTGCAATGCTACGGCACCACAGCGGAACTCTTAAATACCAACAGACTATATTTCGGTGATCACACACAATTGTATACACCCATTGAGCGCATATAATGACTGACATATTCTGGGCGCCTTGGTAAACATATAATACAACATGCCAGCATATAATCTAATATTAAACCTATACAGAATAAATTGAATAATAATAATAGTCAGCTAAACCAAGCTCCGCTCTTCTTTAGCTACTCACCACTGTATACAGAGCAGAACGGATGTCTATCTGGAAAGTTTAAAAAAAGCGTCCAAATGAAAAACTAATTTCACTTTTTTTGTTCCTTTTAGCGAGTCTCTCTCAATACTGCATATTACAATTACTCTGTCCCATCAAGCTACAACGAAATGAGCTGGATGTAAGCAAAGAGAGTGACTCCCTCAGATCTGGAAAGCTCTCTTGTTGCTACCCGTCCTGAGACAGGTTAAAAAGCCTGTTTGTTTATTTTTTAGACCCTAATCCCTTTATGTTGTCTTTCAGTGTCCCAGCTCGAAGGTATACGTGCATG